CTTTCCCAGCAGTACGTGTCTCCTTCAGGAGCACGTGTCTCCTTCGGCAGCACGTCTTCCTCAACCAGCAGTCAGAAAGAGAGTTCTGCCTCTAGGAGGCCTCTTTTTGAGCCCGGCAGGGTGGTCAAACTAGCCAAATCATAGCATCAGAACTCTAAGCACCTGAAAGAGTGGGCACCTCCCAGAACATTGTTTTGTGCCACGCCCAACAGAAATAACCCAGGTGGACAACTTCATCAATCAGGAGCTCCTCAGTTGCTCATAGAAAATCCCACCTTGGAGTTTACAAAGACTTACAGATAGAAAAGCCACACTAAGTAATTTACTATACCGCAGTTTCCAAGGCAGTGTCTCTATGGAACTAGGTTGCCCAACCTTCCTTCAGAGGATTGGCTGGTAGGTTTGAACCACCAGCCTTCTGATTAGCAGTTAAGTGCCCCAGGCACTATGCTACCAGAGCTCCCTGTCACCTTCCATAGGACAAGGCTATTCAGGGACCTCCTTAGGTCCCCAGCACCTAACTCACAATTCGAAGTGGGAAGAAACAGTTGCAAAGAACCATTAATAATCAGAACGTGGAATGTAACAAGTATGAATCTAAAACAGAGCAAGGCCAGGGGCCGACTTCGGAACAGAAGTCGCTCATACTTGAAGGTCAATATCCTTGATGTTAGTGAGCTGAAATGGACTGGTTGGTATAAGCCATTTTGAATCATATGACAATCATACGGTCTACTTTGCTGGGAATGACAAATTGAGGAAGAATCATTCCTTCATTGTTAAAAAGAACATGTCAAGATCTGTCCTGAAGTACAATGCTGTCAATGATAGGATAATATGCATAGACCTACAACAAAGGCCAGTTAATGCAACTATTATTCAAATTTATGCATACCACTAAGACCGAAGATGAAGAAATTAAAAGACTTTTACCAACTTCTGTAATCTGAAATTGATCAAACATGCAATCACGATGCCTTGATAATTACTGGTGATTGGAATGCACAAGTTGGAAATAAAGAAGGATCAGTAGTTGAAAAATATCATACAGTTTTGTAAGACCACCAACTTAGTCTTTACAAATACCTTTTTCAGCCACATAAATGGCAACTGTATACATGTGGACCTCACCAGATGGAATACACAGAAATCAAATCGACTATATCTCTGGAGAGAAACAATGGAGAAACCCGACAGCATCAGAGCAAGGCCAGGGGCCGACTTCGGAACAGAAGTTGCTCATATGCAACTTCAAGTTGAAGCTTAAGAAAATTAAGACAGATCCACAAGAGCCAAAATACGCATAGCAACCCCCTTTGGGTTTCTGAGGCGGTAAATCTTTATGAAAGTAAAAAAAAAAAAAAAAAAAAGCCCAGTCTTTCTTCTGCTGAGTGGCTGGTGGATTTGAACCGCCAGCCTTCTGGTTAGCAGTCAGATGCCTTAGGCACTATGCCACAAGAGCCCCAACCTTGATTATATCCCACCTGAATTTAGAAACTATCTCAGGAATAGATTTGATACACTGAACACTAATGACTCAAGACCAGACGAGTTGTGGGATGACATCAAGAATATCATACATGGGAAAAGCAAAAGGCCATTAAAAAGAAGATTTAAGTGGGTGTCAGAAGAGACTCTGAAACTTTCTCTTGAATGGAGAGTAGCTAAAGTGAATGGAAGAAATGATGAAATAAAACAGCTGAACAGAAGATTTGAAAGGGCAGCTTGAGAAGACAAAGTAAACTATTATAATGAAATGTGCAAAGACATGGAGTTAGAAAACCAAAAGGGCAAAATACACTCAGCATTTCTTAAGCTGAAGGAACTGAAGGAAAAAATTCAAGCCTCAAGTTTCAGTATTGAAAGACTCCATGAGCAGATACTGAACAATTCAGGAAGCATCAGAGGAAGATGGAAGGAATACACAGAGTGACTACAAAAAAGAATTGGTTTGACATTCAGCTATTTCAGGAGGTAGCAGATGATCAAGAACCAATGGTGTTGAGGGAAGAAATTCAAGCTGCTCTGAAGGGAAGGCATTGGAGGGAGAATAAGCCTCCAGGAGCTGTCAGGATACCCACTGAGAAGTTTAGCAAACAAATCCTACATTGGAAGCACTCATCTATGCCAAAAAATTTGGAAGAAAGCTACCTGCCCAACCGAGAGACATCCGTATTTGTGCTCGTTCCAAAGGAAGGTGAACCAACAGAATGTGGACATTATTGAACAGTGTCATTAATATCGCATGCAAGTAAAATTTTGCTGAAGATAATTCTAAAGCAGTTGCAGCGGTATATTGACAGCAAACTGCCAGAATTTTGAGCCAGATTCAGAAGAGAGCATGGAACAGAGTATCATTGCCGATTTCAGATGGAACTTGGCTGAAAGCAGAGAATACCAGAAAGATGTTTACCTGTGTTCTATTGACTAATAAAAGGCATTTGACTGTGTGAATTATAACGAATTATGGATAACCTTGCAAAGAATGGGAATTCTAGAACTCTTAATTGTGCTCATGTGGAACCTGTACATAGACCAGAACAAGGGGATACTGCATGGTATAAAATCTGGAAGGGAGTGTGGCAGGGGTATATCCTTTCACCATCCTTACTCAATCTGTGTGCTGAGCAAATAATCCAAGAGGCTGTACTATATGAAGAAGAATGTGGCATCAGGATTGGACGAAGACTCATTAACAACTTGTGCTACGCAGACAACACAACCTTGCTTGCTGAAAGTGAAGAGGACTTGAAGCACTTACTGATAAAGATGAAAGACCACAGTGTTCAGTAGGGATTACATCTCAACATGAAGAAAACAGAAATTCTCACAACTGGACCAATAAGCAACATCACGATAAATGGAGAAAATATTGACATTGTCAGGGATTTCATTTTACTTGAATCCATAATCAATGCCCATGGAAGCAGCAGTCAAGAAATCAAACAATGTGTTGAGCAAATCTGCAAAAGACCTGTTTACATGTTAAAGATGTCATTTTGAGGACTAAGGTGCACCTGCCCCAAGCCATGGCCTTTCAGTCACCCTCGTGTGCATGTAAAAGCTGGACAGTGAATAAGGAAGACTGAGGAAGAGTTGATGCATTTGAATAGTGATGTTGGCAAAGAATATTGAATGTGCCTTGGACTGCTAGAAGAATGAACCAGTCTGTCTTGGAAGAAGTTCACAAAGAATGCTCCTTAGAAGGGAGGATGACATGACTTCATGTCACATGCTTTGGACGTATTATCAGGAGGGACCAGTCCCTGGAGAAGGACATCAGGCTTTGGAAAGTAGAGGGTCAGTGGAAAAGAAGACACTCAACAAGATAGATAGGTTCCCATGGTGGCTGCAACACAGGGCTCAAATATGGCAGTGATTGTGAGGCTGGCGCAGGACTGGGCAGTGTTTCCTTCCGTTGTACGTAGGGTCACTATGAGTTGGAACTGACTCGACAGCACTAACGACAAGATTCTGGAGAAACCTTGGGTGCTACTTGAAGCCAGGTGATCAGGGAAGGCTTCAGTGAGGACGTGACGTGAAAGTGAGGTCCCAGGGTTGGGAAGGAACCCGTCATGCAGGGACCTGGCACTGAAACTGAGGTGGGCACCAGCTGGGTCAGGGTAGTTAGAGGAGTTATTCGTGCTGAGACTGGGGAGGCAGGCTGGGTGGGGCCAGACCCTGCACAGCTCTGTGGGCTATTATGGGTGGGATGTGAGGGCTTGGCAGGGAGAAGTGGGGTCTGCTTATTGTTAATGTCACTCTGCCAGAAGAACTGGATGGTGCCTGGCTACCACAACCCACTGCTCTGAAAGGGATCACATTAGAAGGTCCTGTATAGAGCAGGAGAAAACTGAAACAAAACTCAAAATTATGAGAATACCAGGCTTACTGGTCAGATAGAGGCTGGTGGAGCCTCTGAGTACTGTGGCCCTTGGTCACCCTTCAGACCTGGAACCGACCTCACTCCCATAGCTGAATTTGTAGTCAAACAGGAGACAGGTGTACAAGGTGAACCCTAACTCTAAGAAGGTAGGCATTCCTCAGAACAATCACTGATTTGAGATCAAGGGACAGCATTTGTCTGAGGACAAATTCAGAAGCAGGAAGGAATAGGAAAAGAGGAGGAATTGAAACAAGAAACAGGGAGGAAGTAGAAGGAATGATTTACATTGAGGGGATTGTAAGCAATGACATGAAAAGAATGTGTGTGAATTGTTGAATGGAAAACTGATTTGCTCTGTAAACTTTCACCTAAATCTCAATGAAAAGAAGAAGGTCACTCTGGTGGCCAGGAGGAATGCATTAGTGAAAACAAGAGGCCACCGGGAGGGAGGCCATGGGTATGGTCCAGCTGCAGCATGGGGACTTGGGGGCAGAGAGGAGGTGGAGAGAGATGGACGGAGAGCCCGCAGTGGATGCGGGATGGTGGGGGCAGCCCGAGGAGGTACTTGTCCAGGAGGAGAGCTCAGGACCTTGAAAGCCCTCAGTGAGGGGCAGGAAGAGGAAAGGGGACTAGAGGCAACAGGAGTGGAGTCGGGCCATTGGAGAGCTTCCTGGGAGGGCCCTGAGGTTGGGGACCAATGATGTCCACTGGCCTTGACCACCCACAAGGTCCTGTGGGAGTGAGAGGGAGGAGGCCCAGGTGCTGAGCAGGGCTAGGGCTAAGGCCAGCGTTGTGAACTTGTCAAGCGTTGGGGGCGTGTGCACCTTCTCACGCCCAGGGCTGCCCTCTGCTGATGTCCCTGTTCCCCGTCACTTTTCTCTCCCTGAGGAGAGCACACCGTCCGCTTCCGGCTGCTGGAACACTGTGCATGTCCCCAGAGGCAGGACAGGCCTGCAGGCCCCAAGCAGGGCAGGCTGTGGAGGCAGCGAGTTCTCTGTGGGCTGGCGCCTGACTTCCCAGAGGCCCTTGGGGTTATTGCCTCTCAGAGTGTGTGTGAGCGCAGGCCTGCAGGGAGGGCAGGGCAGGCCTGCATCTAATCCCGTCTCTCCTGCAGGACTTGGCCTGGGCCGTCAGCTACTATGCCCGTTTCTTCATCACCTACATCCCTTTCTATGGTGTCCTGGGAGCCCTCCTCTTCCTCAACTTCATCAGGTGCCTGAGCTTTGCTGGTTAACCCCTGGAGCCTCGGGAGCACTGGCAATTACTTGTGGGGGCTTTGGCGAGAGGGCCACGTGAGGAAGGGTCCGGAGGGTTCCACTTCCAGCCTTTGGACCTCAGCAGGGGATCTGGCTTGCCCCCAGCCCCTGCCCTGGTCTGGCTGGGAGCGTGGCTCTGTTCCCACTGTGGCCCAGGGCCCCCGGAGAACCCTTGGGGCTGCCTGGGTTCCTAGCACTGAGCTGCACCCTCTCTCAGGTTCCTGGAGAGCCACTGGTTTGTGTGGGTCACTCAGATGAATCACATCGTCATGGAGATTGACCGCGAGCCTTACCGTGACTGGTTCAGCAGCCAGGTGAGTGCAGACAGAACAGGTCCACCGTGCCCTGGGGAGCTTGGGCCTGGTGTCATGTCCTGTGGACCCAGGGCCGTGCTGGGCTTCCGTAAGGCTGCCTGTATCCCCCCACTGGTAGCCACAGGGTTAAGCAAGCAAGCATGGCCGGTGTCTTCCAGGACAGGTGGGGATCTGGGGGGCCTGGGGACTGCAGGCAGGAAGGCTGGCATGGAGGGTGGCCCACTCCTCCACGGGGCTGTGAGCTTGTCAGTGGCCACGGGGTCGCCTTGTGCTCCTGGCCACTCTGCCCCTCCCTCCCCCTCCCACCTCTGCAGCTGGCCGCCACCTGCAACGTGGAGCAGTCCTTCTTCAACGACTGGTTCAGTGGGCACCTCAACTTCCAGATTGAGCACCAGTGAGTGTGGGCTGGCTGGGGCCCTGGGGCGGCCCACAGTAGAAGGGCTACATTGGGAGGGCCGCCTGTCCCCTGATGACGTCTCCGTCCAAACCCTGGGTCATGGCTCTGCAGTCAGCCCCACAGAGGCCAGGAGGGGGCGCACTGGTGCTGTCTCCCAGGGCTGGGCAGCATCCAGGTCCTGTGCCCCACAGTAATAGTGATGACCATTCCCCTTTACAGTCCACAGAGTACTTGCGTGGGCACCTCATTAGACCCTTGAGGCTAACAGGGCAGGGATGACTGAGGCTACCATACTGATGGGGAACCTGAGGCCCAGCTAGGTTAAACAGCTTGCTGAGGGACTGCCCCAGGCCTTCCCTCCCACCACTTTCTGTTGCCCGTCGTCTTACTACTGTTCCTTTTCCTCCACCTTCCTTCTCCTCTTCCTCCTCTCAACCCCAGCCCCCCAATCCACTGCTTCTATTTCCTTTTGAAAAAAAACATACCATTTTGTCTCTGATCCTCCAGTATTTTGCCACCTGCCTGAAGCACAAACCCCCCGCCCATGAACGGGCCCCAGCACCCCAGGTGGCCTGGTGGCCCATAAGAAAAGCCCCATACAGGTCCCAGGCTAGCTGTGCCCTGCTCCCTGGGCCCCAGCCAGCCCGTCTGGACCCGGAGAGAGTGGGGAGCAGTGCAGTGTGGCCCCTTGGGCCTCTCATGCTCTGAGCCCTCTGCCACTCTTCCCAGCCTCTTCCCCACGATGCCTCGGCACAATTTCCACAAGATCGCCCCCCTGGTGAAGTCCCTGTGCGCCAAGCATGGCATTGAGTACCAGGAGAAGCCACTGCTGAGGGCCCTGCTGGACATCGTCGGGTAAGGGAGTGCACGGCTTCCAGGACCCCTCGAGGCTGGTGGAGGCTTCGGGCTACTCACCTCAGGGGCACAGGGAGCGGTCGGGGTGGAGGCAGAGGGGACCGAGAGGCACCGAGTCAGCCTCCAGGAGAGACGGTGATGACCACTCAAGGGGCCGTGTCCGAGGCCTGCCCTCCTGACATCCCCCCCAACCAGGGCACCTCTTTGCAACTAAGCCTGTGTCAGGAGTTGCCAGGGACTGGGGAGTCCTGAGCTAGCTGCCCTGCAGGCTGCAGGGACCAGGCACCCCCTGGAGGCCGTGCCCTGGAACAGAGAAAGCACCATGGCCCCTGACCACTCCACCGCTCTCTCCACAGCTCCCTGAGGAAGTCTGGACAGCTGTGGCTGGACGCCTACCTCCACAAATGAAGCTGCAGCCCTCGGGTCGCCTGTGGGGGAGGGTGCAGGTGGGGGGACGGCCAAAGGGAGGGGTGGGTTTTGGTTCTGAGGGGTATCCGGGAGGCTGGGGTACACACACTGGCTCACGGACCCCATTTGTGGTTTTCTCTCTTGGTCCCCTCCTTTGTCCCTTCACTTCGGCCTCTGCCCTTTCTTACGGGGCCTCTCCCCTGGAACAGAGGGGTGGGCTTGAGAAGTGTCTCCACCCTGCCTCTGCCCCTAAACACTAGAGGGGACCAGAAGTCCACTAATGAGCCTGGGCCCTTGTCCTGGCAGCCGGCGCCAGCCTCACACTCTACTCTCCTCAGGCTCCTCTGAGGTCCGTGGGGCGGGGTATTAGGTAGATGGCTCCCTGCACCCCAGGCCTGATTCCACATCTGGCTTGCCCTTCTTTGGGGAGGTGTGCTCTGTGCCCCATCTGCCCTGGGCCAGCTCAGTTGTCTAGAAACGCCTGGCCTCTCCACACGGCCAGTATTGGTACCTGGGGCCTCCCTGCAGGCTCACTTTCCTACCAGCGCCCTGGTCCTTGATGGCAGGCTCCTTCTGCCTGCCAGGCAGCCAGCTCAGATCTGGGGCCCATGGAGGGATGTGCCCTCCTCCTCCCCCACCACCTCTGTCTCTCTGACTGTGGATTCTGGGAAGTTCCATTCCATCTTGCCAAACTCCAGAGCCCATGGCCTTGGGACCAAAAGGAGATCTTGCGTGGGCTCAACAGGCAACGGCTGAGTTGGGAGAGAGCTCAGGCTGCCTTTGAATGGGTGGGAGGACCTGAGCTTCCAGAGCCGTCGGACCCTTCCTTCTCCCAGCACCCCCGGCTGGGCTCCCTGCCAGCCCGGACCGTTGGGCCCTGCGATGCCCCTTCCTGCGTCCTGCCAGGACCCTGCTGGCTACCAGAGGGCAGCAGAGCCAGAAGGTGTTGTCTGAGTCCCTCCTTATATGGGATGGGACTGCTCCTGGTACAGTCCCTCTGTCCCCAACTCTCCCTCCGGACTATTCTTACTGTTAATTTAACCTTGTGCTGCAGGTGGCCCTCTGATAGGGAGATGGCCAAGGGGCTTATGACAATCTGCCTTTTACCTCAGGCCCGCATGCCGTGCTGTGGGAGGGCAGTGGGCAGAGGATGGTGGAGGGAGTTCCCGCACGAAGCAGCCCGGGGGAGCAGGGGGAGCTGATGAGGGTGGCGGGGCTGAGGCCAGGAGGTGCAGAGAGCCTGCCGCCCCGGCAGGAGCTGTGCATTTGAAAATCTAACCCACTAACCAATATTTAGTTTCAGGGAGGGGGGGATGAGCTCAGAGTGGGGGTACCCCCATCTAGTGTGGGCAGGCCTTCAGGTTGCTATGGCA